CATGATGGCCTTGGGAACCATGTCGATCATGGTCCGCCTCACGATGTTGTAGTAGGAAGAGATGAGCAGCTCTGTGCATCATGGTTAGCGTTTTTTCGTGGAAAATGGAACAATGGAGACATACTGATGACTTCCACCTCAATGTTCTCGCGCTCTGACAGCGTTCCGGAAGCCTTGAGTGTCGGCGGGGGAGCCTCCATGGCTGCCGCCTTCTTCTTGTTCTTCGCGGCGAAGAAGCTGCCAAAAAAGCCTCCGTTGGTGGCATCTTCAGGCACAACTGGGCTGGAGGCTCTGGGAGTGCCTCCCGGCAGAGGCTTGCCGGTCTTGGGATCAACCTGGACGGGCTTGGAAGGGTTGTAGCGCTCATTAACCATAGCCATAGCCCTGTGGCCATTCAAGAAATCAGGGTGACCAGTGTTGATGTAGCATGCCTCCATAGCCACAAGATCCTTCACCAGCTTGTTGGTGGGTTCCATGGCCTTCTTGAAGAAGTTGATAACCACGGTATGAACCTTCTCCTTGAGGGAAGGATATCTGCGGTACAGCGACTTACCCAGGAGCTGGGACAGAATGCGTACTAGCTCATCGTAGACGAGGGACACGCACTTCAGACTCGGGTCTTCCAAGCGCTTGATCTGCTGCTTCACAATCAACTCGAAGGCTGTAGTGCCGACGAAGAGAGCCGGGGAGGAACCGGATGAGTTGTACAGGATGGTACGGATGTCAACATCCTTGACCACGTCGAAGGGGTCCACAGCCTTGACACCGTTGGAGTACAGCTCGTGGAACACGAAGCTGATTCTCGCACCACCCGACAATTCCGTGCTGGAAAGCTCTGTGTTGTTTCCGTCCAAGACCGTCCGCCACTCATTTGTGAACTCGGTGATGATGTTGAGAACAATGTTTGCGCTGTTGCCCAGCATGCTGGGTCCCAAGCTGTCCAGCTCGGCAGAGTACTTTTGCAGTGAGCTCGAGATGCGAGCCTTGATATCGGGCAGGGTCTGCTTGATGTGCATCATCAGAATAAGGTTGAGCTTCCTAGCCAAGTAGGGAGTTCCGCAGTAAGAGCTCTTGTTCCTGTATGCCTTGTGGTTATCGAAGAAGTTCTTCTCGTTCTCGAGGGCTGCCATAATCGGTTTCTTGTTGTCGATATCGCGCTGGCCACGGTTGACCACAGGGACGTATCCCAGCCGCAAAGGGATGATGCGTCCAGCCAAAATATCAACGACATCGGTGCCCTCGTCCATGAGATCCACCTTGGTGAGAACACCAATTGTTCGCTGACCCTCGGGGTCGACCTCGCGGGCGAGCTTGAGACCGTCGGAGTTGGCAAGATCGATATTGGCAGCTGTGACGGCGAGAATGATGGCGTTGGACTTGGAGATGTACTTGAGAATCATATCGCGGATCTGGCGCTCGATATCGCGGGGCTGGTCTCCAACTGGCACTCTGGTCAGACCCGGCAAATCGACCAGGGTCAGAGTAAGAACGTTCGGGGAGTAAACTCTCAAGTTGATGGGAGCGGGTGAAATGCCGGCGTTACGGCCGACCTTGGCCTCCGTTTCTCTGCTAATCTCATCGCGAATCTTGTTGAAGTCGTAGAATTTTTGGCCAGGGATATGAAGGAACTCGCCCCATTCGTCGGCGTTGGCCGCCTTGTCGGTGCTGTTTTCCACCTCCTCGACGCCATTCTGTGAAGTCGCAGGACGGTTGATGAGTTGCAGGACGAGGGGCCGACGGGTGCAAATTCCAGAGCCTCGGGGCAAGCTGCAAGGATCAAAGTTGTTAGACGCCTCGAGGGCTAGAAGACATGTGATGGCGGGGCCGGGTGGTGGGTGTCACACTCACAAGTCTCTTCCTACGATGTTCTCCAAGACGGAACTCTTACCGCTAGACTGACTACCAACGACGACGATTTGAGGGAGATCGATAGGGTTGGTGACGCCAACTGTTGTGAATACATCCTGAAGCTTGTTCACGAGGCTGAGGGGCAGCGCATAGTTAGCTTCCAAAGTGCATCGAGGGGTCGAGAGATGTTGCTGGGTGTCACCTACGTGATCAAGGCGGGATCCGAGATACCACCTTGGCTGGAAGCGGGGGGCGCGCTCATTGTTGCGATGCGGCGTAGGACCCTTGGGAGATGCGATGGTCGTGTGTTGGGCAGAGGGGAGGGTCGAGTCGAGGACAGACTTCTTTGTCGAGAGTAGTGTCGCAGATGGCTCCTGAATCGCAATACGTGGAAGCTCCCGGAAAGGGGGGTTGGGGTTCGAGAAGGAGGCGAGGAAGACGGCGGGAGCGCAGATCAAATTGAGGGTAGTCGTAGTACCCTCTTTGTGTCGGCGTCGACGGGTATGTATATCAGCAAAGATGCGAGGTATCGTGCAAGTTGCAAGTTTGCAGTTGTTTTGGTTGAGGGATGGTGGGAAGCGGACGTCGCAAGCACCGGGCCCAGATCACAGATGTCAAGAGCCTATCCGTACTTGGTACACACGTTGCTGCTGCCCCAAGACTGAGAGTAAGGTAGACTGTAGGTGTGCCTGGGATCCCTGACGCACCAGCCACATGCGTCCGGTCCCCACCAGTGTCGTAGCCCCCTGTCACTCTGCCGACAGCGACAGGCGCAGCGAAACAGCATTTGGCGGGGCGTTGGGCTGGCAGGCGACCTCTCACCTCTCCCACTTGGGCACAGGTGTCACACGTGACGGGTTCCAGGTTGGCCTAAGAGAGGTAAGGTAGTGTGCACTACACCGCACACCGAGGACAGCTCCAGACACACCTTGGGTACACCATACACCGCACTTCTCACACCTTTAGACATTTAAGAACAAAAAGTAGGTGCCTAAGCGTACGTCACTTGTGCCACGCAAGTATCATACGAGTAGCATTTGGCATGATATTGACGCTGACGAGTAGTCTGAATTGTGATACGCAAGTCCAGAGATACTCAGGGTTTAGTCGCCTTCAGCCAGTCGTTGCTCGTCTTGTTGCTCTGGCTATTTTCTCTTACCTACCTATCTAGCTACCTTAGGCCATGTCAAGAAGTTTCTTCAACTCACCAAACAGTATGTGCACCTCGGTTTACCTTGGCTGCGGGCGAAATTCAATATGTACTTCCACTATGCAGTCCAACTAACTAAAGGATGATTGTCTACCGGCTCTTCCATGAGAGCTTTGTTGCATTCCATTGCCTGGCAATTTGGGTAGGCTTGAATCAATCCTCAGTCTTCTGCAGCTGGATGCAAGATACTGCAGCAAGTTGCATACCACCCGGACAAGGGTTCGTTGCTTCAACGCCCGGACCGAAACGACGAGTGGCGATAAGGAACCGGTGAAGAGCTGGGCCAGGGCACTCCCACGAGGCGTTGATACATTGGGGACTTTCTGGCAGCTGAAGCGCGTTGAAGTGGCCGGCAGTGCGACATGCAACCTCGATCAAGACGGCTGACGGCAGACTGCATGTTCGTCCACACTTTCGATATGGACAATACCTTGTGCCGAGACACTTTGAAAGATGAATGTCTCGTCATATTGACGACAGCAACTGGCGGAATTTGGGAACGTCTCGCAAAGTGTATGACTGTCAATGTTCATCAGGTACCACCGCTGAAAGGTAAGGTAACCTAACCTCTGCTCTCTCGGAGATATCCACCGAGCCGACTGATAAGCTTCCCCAGCCATGTGTACTGACGGGAGAGAGCGTTATAGATCATCTCTTGTAAACCGCACTTCAACTTCACTGATTCATGAGAGAGATACTAGCTGAGCATGTGACCCTCTCCCCCCTCTCAGTCTGGTCATTTAAGGTAAGGTAAGGCGGGTTGAGATCCTTCTTGTGTTCTTGGGTAGTCTAGACTGGTGTGTGTTAGTGAGCTTCACTGTCCTAGATTGCGTTTAGTGAGTCGTTCCTCCAACCACCCCAGCAAGCAGGTCATCCGTCTCCACCTTTGTGCGCAGAGACACTGCCGGGTGTCCAATCGAAAAGCATCCCGTCATCTGCTTGCCCGCTTGTCCCAGCGTTTGCCCAGTCAGGGTGGTGCAGCAGTGCGCCGCTGCCGGCCACGGGTCTCTCCCAGCCTACGTAGCGACCTTCCCCGGCAAGTGAAGGCTGCGTCTGCAGAGGTACTGTGCTACCGAACGAACACCTGCGCCTACCGATACCATACAGAGTAAGGTAGGTACGGAGTACAGTGCTACCCTTCACCGGGATTGAGGTAATGGAACCTGGAAGGCAAGGAGACGTCTACCTATGACCTCTGCCATCTAGCAACCCCGACACCTGCACCCAGGGACTCCAAACTTCAAAGCTTCACCTCCCATCTTACACTACCTCACGTCTCACGGCCCACGTTTCTCCCTCACTCTCTCTTCCCTCCCCACGTACCTTCTCTTAGCTCCCAGACCTCGTCCTCCCATCTCACGCACCTCATCTGCTTCGCCCTACTGCACCGTACGCCCACAAGTCCGTCCGTCCGCATCTGCGTCCAGTCCGCACCACGACCCTCTCTCTCTCTCTCGAGCTATTCTCTAATTAAACGCCTAGCGACAAAGCACTCGCCACAACATTCCTACCATAACATAGGCGTCGCCGTCCCTTCCAAGATATCGAACGACCAGAGCAACCGCGGGGCCTTCCCGCGGTAACATAGGCCGACCTGGACCCCAACTACAATCCGAATTCCAATTCCCATCTTATTCCAGCCAACCAACAAGTGCCCACCCCGCCGGACCAGACATCTTCAACCGCAGTTCCAACCCAAGCCCCCGCGGCTTCCCGCCCCTCCTCTTCTGACGATTCCACAACTTCGAGCCCCTTCCAACCAACCGCCGTCCAACTCTCCTCGACTGTCCCCGAAGCGATAGCATCTCCCTCGGCGCCCCGTCAGGTCTTGGGCCGTAGACGAAGAGCTTCCGACGCGGACCGGGGAGATTCTCCTACCACGTCCGCGGCTGCCAGTCGACCCGGCTTACATCGCTCAAAACGCAGAAGAGGAGACTCCACCATGATCTCAGACGGCGATGGAGCAGCCTCAAATGGAACGTCGAGGACGTACTCCAACGGCGCGACGACGGAAGCCCCGCCGACTGCCTCCGCGACAAACGGTGCTCGCAAAGCCGCTGCCCTGAACGGGTCATCCCGTTCTGACAAGGAAGCTCAGACATCCGCTCCCTCAACCTACTATGGACATGATCGCGAGGAGGTCACCCGCATACTCATACAGGCTCTGTCCGACATGGGATACCAAGGTGCTGCCGAGAGCGTGAGCAAAGATAGCGGCTACGAGCTGGAGAGCCCGACGGTCGCCGCCTTCCGGAGTGCAGTCGTTAGCGGCGAGTGGGGTGAGGCCGAAGAGCTGCTTTTCGGAGCAGTCATGTCCGAGGATCGAAGCCAACCCGGGAACGGTCTCGTCTTAGCCCCTGGCTCTGATCGGAATGTCATGCGATTTTGGCTGCGGCAACAAAAGTTTCTCGAGTTGTTGGAGCAGAGGGATACCTCCCGGGCTCTGATGGTGCTGCGAACCGAACTGACGCCACTATACCAAGATACTCAGAAACTCCATTTCCTCTCCAGTCTCCTCATGTGCCAGTCTACAGAAGACTTGAAAGCTAAAGCCGAGTGGGATGGTGCTCACGGCCAGTCGAGAAAAGTTCTGCTGTCTGAACTGTCTAGTGAGTATCACCAATGCCTCTAGTGACATACAGAGTACTTACAAAAGGATAGAATGCATCTCACCCTCGGTCATGCTGCCGGAGAATCGCCTTGCCGTTCTTCTACAGCAGGTGAAGCAGAGCCAAATAGACAGCTGCCTATGGCATACAACCGCATCTTCTCCTTCATTATACTCGGATCACTATTGTGAACGGAGTCACTTCCCTACTGACGTCGCGTTGGAGCTTACAGACTTGACTGGCGAAGTCTGGCAAGTTCTATTTTCTCACGACGGCCAGCGGCTGGCTGCTTGCGGAAGTGGCGAAGCTGTTGTCATCTGGGACTTGCCCTCTTTCTCAGTCTCTCAAATCTTGCGACCGCATGCTCAGGGTGTCGGCGGTTTGTCGTGGAGCCCCGATGACTCCATGATTGTCACATGCTCACAGGACAAGTATGCTAGACTATGGGATACCACGGTGCGTAATCTCCATTCACAGAGTCCTCCTCGACACTAGTGCTAATATCTTCATAGACTGGAGAGCTGGTTCTGAAACTCGAGCGATTTGAGGAGCCTGCGAGTGGCTGTGTGTGGGCAGCAGACAGCAAGACTTTTGTCACCGGATCTCTAGACAAGCAACACGGCTTGCGTACGTGGAGTATCTCTGGCGAGATGATGTGCGAATGGGGCAAGAAGCATAGGGTTCAGGACATCTGTGGTTCTCCGGACGGTCACTGGCTCGTGGCTGTCGACGACGAACAGAAGATTCACGTTTACAACGCCTTCACACGCGAGCTAGAGTACGAAATGGAGGTCAAGTCGCGGCCGACGTGCGTGAGTATCAGCGAAGACTCACGTCATCTGCTACTCAACAAAAAAGATGGCGAGTTGCAACTGATAGATCTGGTAAATCGGACGTCGGTCCAGAAGTTCTTGGGTCACACTGGGGGCGACTTCATAATTCGGAGTGCCTTTGGCGGCGCGAACGAGAGCTTCGTTGTGAGCGGCAGTGAAGGTATGTGAAGAGCGACTGATTGGATGATGGCAAACACTGATAAACTGCATTTAGATGGAAATATCCTCATCTGGCACAAGAATAGCGGCGCTGCAGTGGAGAGGCTTGAAGGGCATCAGCCTCGGACCAACGCTGTCACCTGGAACCCGGCAGACCCTTGTATGCTGGCTTCATGTGGCGACGATGGCAAGGTTAAAATGTGAGTTTGCTTCAAAACCCTCGTTTGCTATCGCTGACACCGTTCAGATGGTCGAATAAGACTCGGAGCACAGCTCTAAGATCATTACATAACGGCGCTTCCCGAAGTTCAAATGGTTGGAGAGACGAAGAGCGTGCCGAGGAATAGCAGACTGCGGTGCGACTCAAGGCCGAGTAGAGCAGGCGTGGAATCGGAATGGAAATAAATCCCCTCCATCAACATATTATGGTGTCATGGCGCATTCTGGGTTGCGGTATATGAGTGAGGTGACAGGCGCCGTTCGTGGATACCACCACGGTTGGGTTGGCTCACTGCAATTAGAACGATCAATGTTTGATTACCGTCCCTGATATCAAGATTGTCATCGTAGCGATGCTGATTACTGGCTTGCACAGTCCCTTGATGCGAGCATTGTTCACTGTCATGGAATGAAGAGGCACGCACTTGAAGCGCGCACAGTCAAGGTGTGCTTGCCTGCAAACTTGCTTCTTTCCGCCGTGAACGAGCGGTAAAAATGACGGAAGGCAAAACCTCGTGCGCATGCTGAGCCTGGCATAGACAGATCTCAGTTCTGGCGTGTTTCTAGCAAGAGACTGCTGCAGCGGCGTCAACCTGGGAAGGGCCAGCCTACAGCATCTTGCAAGTGCTGCCTGCTTGAGACTTTGCTGGAAAAAAGCTGTCCCTCTCCCTCCGGTAACCCCCAGTTACCACAGACTGACATCGTTCATTGACTTCCATCATCCATCTAACCTTCTGGGAACCGTCCATCGTTTGCCGCCTTGGCTACTTAGGTCTGTCGTTTGACATCAGTTACATCATCGACCATCCTCTTCAGATTGCATTATTCGCCTTCACATCAACATGGATCGACCCAAAAACACGCGAGCATCCAGCAGCGCAGGGCAACGGAGGCGAGAGAACAATTCAACGGAGACAGTACAACGGCGAGAGCCAGATAAGCAGCCCATCATGGGACAGGTCCGATCACACAATTGGCTGGCGAAGCAACGGGAGACTACTACAGAAGCAGCGCTATGCCCATGCATGGTGTATGCTCGCACTGCCGAGAGACTCGAGCGAGCTGCCTATGGCGAGGACCCCTTGACTCCACCTTCAGGTGGTTGCAGCAGTCCATGTTGGTCGTGTTTCCTGAGCTCTATGAGTAATACAATTCTTCGAAAACCCTTGTAGGCATTAACTGACTGCTGCAGTGTGCAACTGGAGGAGGCCGCTCAGCAACCAACGTGGCGACATTCGGAACCGGTATGCCATCACGGGTAGCACCGAGGACGACGAACTTCACGCCTGTGCTCACCCATTCTGGACTCTCATGGGGAATCACAATGAAGTCCTGGTGCGAGAGAAAATATGTAAAAGGTTTAACACCTACCCTTTCTCGCCAGGACCTCCACCAGTTGAGATTCGTCGCTTTAAGCCTCAGCCCAACCACCCGTATAAGTCGCCCGCGCAAATGCAGATGAAGGAAAAGAGCCTGCCGAGAATTGTCGAGTTGCCTGAATCCGGCAGTTCAAAGGAGAGAGCAAAGCCACAAAGTCCGCCGGCGAAGGCTACACCAGAGGCCAGCTCCCAGCAATTGCCTCCTCCTACTAGCAACAAACACACTCCTGCGAGAACTCCGGACACCCAGCAAAGTCAAAGTCCGACTCTGAGTTCTCAAGATCCTCGCGTGACGGTGGCCGACTTTGCTGAGCCCCACCGGCTCAGTCAAGACCAAAAGAGGCCAGTTGGAAACAGACAATTCCCGCACACTGTTCACAATGATCCTCTTTTTGGAATTGCCGAAGAGATCCATCCGCATACTGTCCACGAGGATCCAATGGTCCAAGTGGCTCGCCGGCTCTCCCCCCATCAGATCAATATAGATCCGAAGACAGCCACACCGGCTGCCAGCCTCCCTCATAGCGTTCACCAGGATCCCACTGTCAACGTCGCTGAGGAGCCAGTGGAGCACACGGTACACAATGACTTGACGACCAAGACGGCCGCTCCTGTACACGATCATAGGCTTAGCCAGGATATCATGGCGCCAGTCAGTACACAAGCCGTACCCCACAGCGTCCATGACGACCAAACGGTTGGAACGCAGGGCCAGGCAGCTCCGCACGCTCTCAGCGGAGATCCCACGGTCAAGGTTGATGAGGGCGAACCAAAGCAACACGCAATGCAATCAAGCGCAGCGACTCCAGCACCCGAGAACCAGAAGCCGAACCCCCACCAGTTGGGAGACATTGGCCGTGCTTCGACAGCACCGGCCCCACTGCAATCAACGCGCAATTAACGGTTAAGGTTCATCTCTGGCGGCGAAGAGGAGGTGATGGAGAGAAGAGATCAAACCGTTGAATAGCCTTATGATTATAGTCCGTAGCCGCGATCCTCAAAGGCGTTTCCAAACAGTCAATAACTAGTATCCAGTATGCTCATTACCACTTCAAACTCTGCGCATATTGATGAGGAGTGACATGGTCCAAGACTCCATATGATTAGGAATACAGACGCACTTCACGTCACTGCTCTGTATGCTAGCCACTCAAGCTGCTCTCCCAGTTTGGTCAAGCAAGCATGGATCGTTTCTGCCATCGTCCACCAGCGCGGTCAAACGCTGAGGAATCGTCGTTTAGTCAAGTCTGAGTGTCCTTATTGCTTTGCAACATATCAAGCTCAAGACCATCTCACCAACCGCTCTTGAGGCATTCTGCGAAGAATTTCATCAAGGGGAACATCTCGTCCCGATCACGGGGCATGGCCACGTCTTTCCTCTTCCACTTGACGACTCTGACGTCGAGGAACTCTTCCTTTACGGCATCAAAGGCGTCGTCGTCGAGCTGGACAAGACACGCTTTCGTCTTGCACTTGCCCCGCGTGCTGACAGTGGGAACCATAGAGGGTGGCAGAGGGCCTCCAATCGAGAGGACACCTTTGAGCGTGTTTCCGTCAAAGTGACTGTCGTTCCTCTTGGGTGTAGATGCAGAAACAGCGGTGGGGTTGGAGGATTCAGTCACGTCTACGACTTTTGGGCCGAGACGGAGCTGCGATGCAATGCCCAAGGCCAGGGACCCGCCTTGGCCGAAGCCGAAGAGGATGATGTCGCTGAGCTCCCAGCCGCAGCGGGCGACGAGGGTGTCGCGGATGAGGCGGTCGACGACGAGGGTTGAGGATTTGGAGAAGCCCGGGTCCGTGGCTAGGGCGTTTGTGGAGGGGTCGAAGGTGATGTCGTCGCCCCAGTGGAAGTGGCCGGAGTTTGCGGAGGTGGAAGAGGAGGAGGGGTGACCGTCATCGGGCAGCATGGACGGGGGTAGCGGGGAGGGACCGCGAAGGGAGATGGAGAGGACGCCCGGGAGGGACATTGCGCGAGCGAAGGAGGCGAAGGGTGCTTCGGAGTCGCCTAGGCCGTGGAAGAGGAGGAGGATTGAGGTTGTGGATTCCGGGGGGTTTGGGAAGGCTAGGGTTAGGGGGAGGACTTTTTGGACTTGGGTGAAGTCTTCTGGGGTTGGGATCCGGGGAGGCATTTTTTTGGTTGTTAGGTTGTGATATGAGTCTGGATTGTGATCTTGGCGTTTAGGTTGAGTGTGAGTGGGATTTATGCGGTTCCCGGGGAATGGGATATGTTGAGTAATCGAGCGAGAGATAGAGAGTACACCCTGTTCTAGATTTTTCTTTCGGCCGGGATTCGGTAAAGGGCGATGAGAAGGAATAAAGTCCGACAAGCCGTGTATATTAAGTATTTACGGGCTGGGTTGGCCTGGTAAGGTGCTGATCGTGTGAGATGGACAGGAATAGGCGTGTGTGGATGGATTGAGCAGTCAGGTCAGATGAGGTGAAGTTATCTCCAAGTGGGGAGGGACTTTCGGCTCCTCACACTAGGAGTTTGAACCTTGAACTTTGAACTCTCAGTGACACGAGCTTTTTTTTTTCTTTCTTGCTCACACACAGTGACGACTGAGCGTTGTGTGAGTGGAGGAACAAGACGTAAATTAACAGGCAGTAAATAGCCCAGTTGTCTCCACTTTTCCCCGACGAAATTCAAGCTTCAAACGCCATGTGTAATAGATTAACAGTTTTCAGCCTCTCAATGCTTACAATCACCGCAGGGCTGATCTTAATCACTTCCCTCCCGGCTACCCAATCCTTCTAGCCCACCGTATGTTTCCCGTGAGTGTGTAATATGGGGGGCCAATAACCTTACAATCTATCCATGATTACATCCTTCAAGGACACATGCGGGACATTAGATCTGGGGGAGAGGTCTAGACATTTATCTGTCTGATGGATTCGAAGAAACTTGGCGACTTACTCTGACTGTTTCTTCTCCCCACCACATTCCTGATCCTCCAACGCTTCTGCTGTCCATCACACAGACACCAATCTCGTCTCTTCTTCAAGGTTCAGGCTGTCAAAAACATCAGTAAAACTCGTCTCAAGATTGACTTTTCTTCTCGCATGAGCGAGAGCCGCACTTCAGCACCGCCGTCAGCTAGCGACCTCAGTCTCCCTCAGAGCACTCCGTGCTGGCTGTCCTGCAATCTTTCCGCACAGTTCAAGCGGCGGTGGTTGCCTCGTGGCCAAGTGGTTGCGTGTTCGTCGCAGCAAAAGCACGCACAACGCTGCGCTGCGCTGGCTGACTCGAGGCCTTTTCTCGTGTTGTCTTCTCTCCAACTGATGTACCTTACTCGCCGCCATCACATCATGAGACGACATGCAAGACAAGTCGACGTGGAGGGGATGGCATTAAGGCTCAGCCTCCGTGCAGGACTGGGAAGGCCCCGGCACCGGCGTCTTTAGACATCTGGAGGGACGATCCACAAGTGTAGTTACCGCTTGCCGAGTCTCCAGACTGTCTTTCTCCCCCAATCTTCATCTCTTTCGACTAGTGTTCTACGCCGCAAGGCAGCGAAGGGACCCGTTCTATGTTTGTACAAGATGATTGTCCATAGACCCCAGTACGGAATGATCTCACCCTGAAACGTCCTCCGCGCCCGCCGCCAGCCCTGCTTCCTCGCTCTTCTCTTTGCCTCTTTCGAGGAAGAAGAGGAGAAGCGGGTATGGTTACACGCTGAAGAGAGTTGGTCGCTTC